TTTGCACTTGTGGATGGTGGATTCAAGACTTCACAAAATTCCCTCATCTTTCTCCTCAGGACTTTGGGTTGAAGATGATGACAGCAGAGTCATCTTTCCGCTTAGACCATGCTTATTTTTTCAAGATTGCACAGATGTTTCTTATGCTCCTTCTCTATTCCTGTCACTATGCAAGAAGCTAGAGATGGTGGTGGCGCACAGCTGTTTATGATACAGACTCTGGGTCTTTGGCATGAGTCTGTGAGGTCTTAGATCTCTTCAGCATTTCTATGGCCTTCAACATGCAAACTTCTTTCCTTGACTTGCCTGCACCCAAACAAGGTTCCAGAAGTTTCTCTGAGGGTAACCCCAAGAAGCTTTAGGGGTCCCCTATCAAACGCTGTGGAGAGCGTGGCTAAGGTTCTTCACTGTCATTCTCCATGAGCCTCAGTTGACTCTAATAGCTGTATCACTGGTACACATTAGGCCAGATTAAACAAGGATCATTATAGCAGGTGATGGTTAGGGTGCTTATAATCATGTAAGTTCTTTAGATGTTTGACAAACCATCGAAGAGATGTTCTTGTTAAGATCTTGGATACATTAATCCCCTTTGCTTTGGATGAAGGATCAATGAGTAAATGGCCAATGGCACCCACCTGAGAGGGACTCACAAAGCCTTACTAACCTCCTTCCAGTTTCCCACCCCTACCATGTGTGGGCTAACATCTCCCAGAACCAATGACTCATCAAGCTCTTGCTCTGATAACTTAGGGTAGACCCCTGTCCATTTTCTCTTGTCCTTGTCAGCAACTGTCCTGCCAGGTCACAGGTCCGGTTGTGAGAGAATGCTTTGAAGGACGAGGGTCGGGCTATCACACAGGCTCTGACACCTTGTGAGGGTCTTGTAAACTCTCAGTTAAGGACTGTCTGGTTACAAACGAGAAACCTGAGAGCTACCATTCAAAAGTGGACAAAGAACTCTAGAAGATTGTGTGGCCTTTCTTTATAATCTCTTTTTATCGTGAAGTCTGGCTGGGCTCACTTGAACAACTGCATCATCAGAGTATTATTTTGATCTTAACTCCCAGAGGAGGATTTGTGTAAGAATCAAGATTTATATGATTGGACAGCTCTCCTGAAGCCCAGTAATAAAATTCTGTGTATCTGGCATCTTGAACAATCACAGCTTTGGGGTCAAGGTTGGAATTTTACAAATGTAATCAGAAGCTGGCATTTCCCACATGTGTTTTGAGACTTTATAGACAAGGGGCACTGAAGTGAATAAAATAATGATTGTAGAAGTGATCAAAAATGATAGTACTGTTTTCGAAGGAATAGGAAAAAAATTAGACACCTTCTCAAATTTAACTATGATTCTTAGCTTTTTCTAAAGAATTGGGAGGTCAAGGCCCAGACTTGAGACCCATGAAATTCCTGGAAAAGACATCCCTGAATATACTTTTGATGACTCTGTGTTGACCATATACTTGAGAGATAGAGCGTCAATTCATCTTACCTTAAATTTTGGATTCGGAAAACTGAGTTTCATGTATGCAAGTGGGAGCATTACTGACAAGCAAGAACAAAAAAGAAAAATCCCTTCTTATTTGTGGGATATTTTTAGGAGCAGGATAACTCAGTTTTGGGATGATGGATGTGCAGTTCTGTGGCCAGTGGAGGAGGAGGCCAGAACTTCATCACCCCTGGAGGCCTCCTCCAGCCTCCCCCATTCTGTGATTCACGGAGGGAGAAAACGAAGCCCCTAGCCACCAGGTGGTCTGCCCATGGCCCTTTCACCAAAGACCTTTCTTGAAGATGCAGAGACAGATACTTCCCAACATGAGGAATTAGGATTCAATGTGAATATTCTTGCTTTTTGACAAAAATACTGCCATTAAAGAGGATGCTACCATCCATTTCCCTTTTGTTCTGAAAACCAACCTCTTCTGGAGAAAAATCAAGTAGCCTCTATAAAAGAAAAGAGGGACCAAAGCCTCCTAAAGGAGATATTCAATTCCTACTATAATAATCTGCTCTGGGAAATGTCACTGGGGTGAAAAGATTCTTAGGCTGGGGACTTGACCATAAGGAGCCCAGACTTGTCTTGGTGTTTAATGCCAGTTGGCAGGTCATCAAATCATTCTTTCCTGTTTATGGAGGCAGCGGTATATAAATAAACAGGCCCTCCTCTCTTACTTCTACTTGCATGGAGGTCTCTGCATTAGTGTCATGGATTCCAGCTTTTTCTCTGGCACAGGACATAACTATACTCCAGCACATGAACTAGCTGTGCTCTAATGACCTCTTGTATAGTAATGAAATCTGATAACAAGAGAAAATGTAATACTTGGAATTTCTAACTTTTCACACCAATAGTTTTTGTCTTTTCCTAAATGATCCTCAAAGGGAGTGAGGTTCCCTGGAAACATAAGCTGCTTCTTATTCCCAGCAAAGGTTAAAAAGGGGTTTCTCCTTCTCATTTCTATTCTGAAAGGAAAAAAGAAGGCACCACCATTGTTTCTCTCCTTTGCCTCTCCTACCCCTTCCCTTGTACTGAACAAGGTGATGGAGTGTTCCTTCAGCACTAAGGTGTTGGGTTTCTCATTGGGGATGCAGCTGGCCACAGGCAGAGACCCACGGGGAGCAAGTTGCCATGCGGGGAGATAAGACAGGGACAAAGGAAATGCTCACCACAAAATGAAAGGTAATAGAATTCTGAGCCAACGTCCTTTCATCTGAGCCACTATGACTAGTCCATTACTTCTTCAATGTCCTGTGACATTTTTCTGATATTTGTGACTGTCAACCTCCCTCTTGAATCGTGCACATTTACCTTGATGCATTTCTTATCTGCAGCGCAAAAAGCATCTGCAATCCCAAGGAGGAATTTGCTCTTAAAGAGTGACAATGGGTGTGCGGGTGTGCAGGGCTGGGGGAGGGGGTGGGGAGTGGGGGTGGAAGGGGGTGCTTTGACTTCTTGGCATCCAAACACACTGGATATTCTTCAGGCCAGGCTGATGAATATCCATCCACAAGACCACGAGATGCAGCACAACCTGCCCACCAGCCCTGGCATGAATCATCTGTGATTGGGCTCATGGAGAATTTCCTGAAATCCCTCATCATCATTTGACTAAGATGAGATGCTTTTATCTTATAAAAGTCTGCCATCCATAAACTTTTTGGAACTTGGTAAGGTGAGCTGAGGACTCTGTAATTAAGTGATAGAAAACAGAATGTACTCTCTCTGGGCTCTGCTTTTGGTTTTACTAAGGATGGGCCCCCTCTTCTGGGCTGGGAGGCGAAAAGGTCAGCCTGTCCTCAGTCACGGGGAAAAGGAAGGGTGAGGGGAAAGTGGGGTTTAAAGAAGAGGACCCCGCGAGTGACTAGGGCCACTTCCCATGAAGGGGTGTTCAGGTAGGATGACACGGACATGAAGAAGCCACCCAGAAGCGGGCATTAAGACACTGCGGCACCTTCTGCTGAGGACAAAGTGGGGAGGGCTGCCCTGGGCTCTGGAGCAGCTCTGTTAAGGGTCTGGGATGGGCAACTAAGTTCGCAGCTCCGAGTGCAACAGGAATGAGGAGGCATAGCCTCTGAAGGCTGTGAGCCAGATGCCTCGTAGAAAACCTGGCATCTGTCCTGTGGGCCGCAAAGCAAGCAGCTGGTACTGGCACCCTGCACCGAGGCTCTGGAAACCAGGCCTCAAATTCCTGTTCTTCTCCTTACAAGCTAAGTGACCTCAAGCCTCAGGTCCCTGAGAAGGAGGGAATAACATGCGTGCCTCCACAGGGGGACTCTCTGGAGTATGAAATCATGCAGTTAAAAGCCCTTAGCACATGCTTGGCACATTGTAAACGCTAAAAAATTAGAAGCCATTATTATTGTTAATAAGCACAAGGTCTTCCACTGCCATTTATCACCAGGGTGATGTTGTGGACGTGGGGATGATGAATATAGACTAATTTCAGATTACAAAACAAAAGGAATGAAGCCTTAAAAAAAAAAAAAAAAAAGGAAAAAAGCAGTGGCTCCATTTGCTCAAAATGTCTGTCCCTCAAAAGGTCTGGGGCTCGTCTCCCAGTTTCCGGAAGGCCCAAGAGGTGATGTTTAGAGCTGGAGAGGCACCCAGAATCCAGCCTTCCAAAGCCATGTGCTTGCCATCTGATCACAGACCCTCCCTTTGAAAAAAATGCAAGAGGAAGAAGTTAAACACACACAGACCAGTTGATTCAATAGAGAGCTTTTGGTGAGTGCTCCTTCCAGGATAATAAACCAAGCAAAACGTCTGGCTGTGTTTAAAATCAACAAAAGCAGCAGGCAAGGCAGGAAGAAGGGAACGGAGTGATCAGCTTGGTCCGAGAGCTGCCAAGAGCGCTGCTTCAGCAGAGGCGGCCTGAGGAGGCCCCAGAGAGCAGAGAGGAGACAAATGCAGACAGGATGGAGGCTGAGGACAGGGGAGGGAGGGATCCAGGCCTGATGGGAGGCAGATGTGGCCCAGGGCCCATGGGAAGCTTTCCCGAGGATCCCAGGCTGGTGGGGGTGGGGGCCTGAGAGCAGATCAGGAATTTGATCATCATGGCCACACTTATCGAGCACTCTACTCTGTGCCAGCCATTATATATAGGTGAGCAAACCAAGGCTCAGAGAGGCGTTAGGACAGCTCACAGCTGCTAAGTGGTAGTCGTGTGCCTTACTCCTGATCCCCAGCTCCTCAGCGCAGAGCCCTACTGCAAATGGCCCGGGGGGGGGGGGGGGGCACACAGCAAGGCACACGAACCAGCTAGCGGACATCTGGGAAATGCAGACCGGGAGGGAAAAGGTGAAAAAGGCCCAGTGGTGAGTTTAAGTCCAGTCGCTGCTTGTTAATGCCAACCATAATGTCGCCAGATGAAAGGACTTTGTGCCCAGCTCCCACATGCGGACAGAGGCAGCACGCGCCCCGCAGCAGACGCCCCCCCGCCGCCCCCCCCGCTCCCCGCCCCCCCTCCCCGGCCCCGGGCGTGGGCCCGCCATACCGATGGTGCAGTGCTCGCCATTCCAGCCGGGGCTGCACTCGCACTTGCCGTCGCGGCAGGTCCCATGCTCGGCACAGCGTGGGTGGCAGGCCCGCTGGTCGCAGGCCGCCCCCATCCAGCCTTCCTCGCAGCGGCAGGTGCCTCCCACGCAGACGCCATGGCCCCCACAGTCGGCAGCACAGATCTCTGTGGGGAGGGCGTGGGGGAGGGAGGGGAAAGAGAAAACACATTTTGAGCCGGTCATCGTCGGGAACAAGGGTCACACTTGGCTACCTACCTTGGCTCCTGGGAGGGACCCATCCGGATTCCGGAGGCTTGGGAGGCTAATCTCCCCGAACAATGACCCTCGGGTGAGAACAATTCTCCAGGCAAAAGCCTGTCCTGAGCCCGCTGCCCTTATCAAAATAGGCCGATGGAAGGGCTCTGCTCTGTTTGCTTTCCCCTACCACCAGCCCATCCCCGCTTTTGTGCTCGCCACTTCCAAGGGGGACCGGCCTTCTGAACAGATGTGAGGAAAAGTCACATTTAATTAAAAACTGGTAATGTGTGAAAACAAAGTGAGGACGAGTCCCTGATGGCCGAGGGAAGTGCTTGTGGGTCTGGCTGCAACACGTGCAGGGGGTCTGGGGCCCGCATTTCCTTCCAGCCTGACTGTCCTCCAGGCGGGGTGAAAGGGAGGCCAGCCCCCTGCACCCGTGGGGGTGGGGACTCTGGGGGCCGGTTCTGTGCTTTTGCTGCCCGTGCCCGTCGTCCTACACACTGCCCTGCCACTCTAATTCCAAGCACCGCCTCCATGGCCTTTCGGATCCAAAGCAAATTGCTGGGGGACTGCGTCACAGCCAGAGTCGAGTCGCCCAGCCCTTCACAAAGGCCAATCTATGACTTGGTGCAGTATGCACACGGCCCAATTCACAAGGCCTTGGGCACAGGGCCAGTGACAGCTTCCCTGTTACGCAGGCAGAGGTGGTGAAGGCTCCGACCCGGGTTTTTAGGAAACAGGTCGTGCAGCCGTGGCCACGGATGCTCTCTGCCAGGGCTGTGACAGGGACCCTGCCTGCAGTCTGTGCCTTATGGCCCAACAGTCTTCGAATGAAAACCCCAACGCTTTTGTTCTCTTTCAAACTAAATTAACTGGCACTGTGTCAGGTTGCATTTGCCCATGACAGCTTGGAAGATTCCAAGCTATATTCCTGGTTTAGAAGCTACTAATAGTCTAGTGATTTTTGGAAAAAGGGGATAAATCAAAATTAGATCTCAGAGGCTGAGACCTTCCATATCAACCTACAAGGCAACGGCTATTGATGTTTGAGAATTAAAAAAACAAAAACAAAAACAAAACCCCACAACACAACAGTTGAGTCACCATTTATGGGGTGTCCCTGTGCCCGACACCTTGTCTGGCACCCTACCTGGAAGGGACGTACTACACGCAGAGACACACCGCATTTCTCAGCTGCCCAGAGAAGAGTCCACTACAAAATGGGTGCAAAGAGCCCTGACCTGGAGCTGGGGGGCCCCGGGTTCTGTGCCAGGCTCAGCAGCTTCTGAGCTCTGCGACCACAGGCAGGTTCCTTGACGTCAGGGATGTAGCGAGTGTGGGCCGTGACGAGGACGCCTCACAGCACCTCTGCTGACCGTCGGGGCTGTGGCGAGCACCCAGTGAAGTGAAACGCAGAGAAGGGCATGGCAGACATGCATAACTCAGGACAGGTCTCTGAGGACAGTGAACTTTAGACTAGAGTCCAAGGACCAGGCGTGCAAGGCCCATGCCTGCTCAGCCACTCATCTGCGGTGTGACCTTGGGGACGTCATTCCCCCTCACTGGGTGTTGGGTTTCCTCATCTGCTTCAGGGGGAATGTGATGGCATCTAAGGTCTGTCTGGCTCTAAGACGGTGGGAGTCTGTGATATAAACACCCTCCATGTTATACAGCATAATCTACCCCCAAGGCTCAGCTCAAGGGTCTCTCCTCTGAGAAGTCTGTGACTCATCCTGTGGTTATTCTCTCGTTCCTTGCCCTTCCATGTTACATGGTAAACCGATTTTCTGTTTCTGTGCCTGTCCCGCTGTCAGACCAGGGATATCTGAGGCCGGACCGGGTTTTCCTGATCGCTTCTATGCTTGGTACCCAGCACAGAGCATGGCACAGAACAGACCCTTAGCTGAAGTCTGTGGGATAAGGGATGAATCCTTGGGTGCCTGGGGCTATAGGCGGCCTGAGAGTGTAAACCGATTCATTTACACCCTGCTCAGCCTGGCTGAGGGTCGGTCCGGGCCTGTCTCTGGTGAGCTGGCCTTACGAAAACCTCCCAGGTTGGGGTGGGGCTGTGGGCTAGTGTCACTACAGCCAGCAGCCCTCCAGGAATGTGGCTTTCTCAGGACTTTCTTCGAGCTTCCTTCCCTCCTTCTCACACAGACAACGCCTTGACACAGAATGACGACCTCCAGGCTCCGGGCCTTCCGAAGTCCTGTCTCTGAAATTTCTAACCCTTCTGCACAGCATTGACCCCTCCGTGACTCTGAAGGCAGGGCTTGCCTCAGGGCAGGAACTTTCCCCTGAGAGACTGGGGAGGGACAATTAGTTTAGCATTTGTTTGGCTTTACTCAGCACTTTTTCCAGGTGGCAGTTTATGGTGTAAAAGTAAACAGCAAATAGCGCTTCGATTCAGTGAGGTGTGAGCCAGCAGAGGGACAGGCTGCTGGGGCCAAAGCCTTGGTGTTTTCAGGCAGCAGGGCATACAGAGTTCAAGGGGGTCTAGAGCACAAGAGGCAGCCTTTCCCCAGCATTTGCCTGACTTCAGGCCGTAGCTAACAGGTAGGCCGTTCCTATATTAACCTGAAGGCAGTTGTGGCCGGAAGAGCGTCAGATTTAGATGTGATTCCAAATACGTTCTGCCAGTTATGTGACCTTAGGCAACCTATCTGATTGCTGAATTTCGTTTTCTTCTTCTGTAAAATGGGGATGGTGACGGCATCCCTTCAGAGGATGCCTGATATACAGTAGGTATCAACGCAGTCACACTGATTCTCTCATTATTCCTATAGGATTCCAAGCATGCCTACTATGTGCTGAAGACCGTGGCTGGTGCTAGGAGTACAGAGAAAAACCAGACCTAATCTGTGTCCTCTGGGAGATCACAAGCCAGACAAAGCTCAAACCGGTACTGGAATCCCACGATCATCCAAATAAATTATAGTGGTTACTGCTGCACCTTCTTGCTTATATGCAGTAAATAAAACACCATGAATTTTAGGATCAGACAGATCTGGGGTTTACCCTTGGCTTTGCCACTTATTGGCTGGGTGATCTGCCAGTGGCAACTTAGGAAATTCATTGAACCTCACTTTCTATCTCTGTGAAATAGGTAGAATAATTCCCATTTCACCCATGTCATAGGATTGGTGTCAGGTCAAATGACGTAGCGTGTGGGGAAAGACATTTTTGGCTTAATAACTAACACTTATATCAGGTTTTAGAGTTTATGAAGCACCTTCATATACAGTTTCTCTTTGAACTATCACAACAATGCTGTCAGAACCCCTGCTTACTATCTTTCCTAGAGCTGCCTCTTGTGCTCTAGACCCCCTTGAACTCTGTATGCCCTGCCACTACTGAGACCCAGAGAGCATCAGCGGATTCTACAAGGTCATATGGTCACGGGTATTTCTCCCTTGTTTTGACAATTCTCAGAGCCATGTGCCAGACTGACATTGTAAGATTAAGGAAACTGATCAGCAAAGAGGTGGGCTCTCCTTGTGGGGACTTCCTGGTTCTTCTAGCAGATCTGTCTCCTTTTCTGGTCCTGTTGCTTATCCTTTGTTATATCCAAGTCAGCCCCTGGATCGATGTCAAATGAAATGAGATCCCCTACATAGGAATTCCCAGACACTCAGTCTCACTTTTGTCATCTGGAGACTGCTGGGCTGTCCATCTAAACCCTCCATTTCCTCGCCAGTTTACACTAGACAAGCTCTCCTGGCATGAAGCTAAGGTTGCCTGGTGGCTGGGCACCTCTCCGTCAGCCTTTTACAAGCTGGGCTGTGGGCTCTTACACATTTTAATGGAAGGGGCCTAAACAGGGTGACCTTGATGTTTATGGGGTGCTAACGGATGGCAACACAACCTGTCGGTGTTCAGGTTCTCCTCTGCAGATGGCCTCTCTGCCTGCATGGGAGACGCACTGACTCCTGATGGGAGCAGAAATTGGAGCTGCTACTTTATCACTTGGCCCTGAGTTGTAGGCCCTGTTGCTATTTTTCTTATCTGTCTCACCGTTTTTTTTCCCCTTGAAATAGAAGGAACTGCTTTAGTTTTCCTTCTTGATTTTGCTTTGACATTAAAGCAGATAGAACTTCCCAGAGTGGTTGCTGGAAACTAAACAGGATGATGCCGGAAGAATGTACTTCAACAGGCCATCTGCCCCTTACCTAACGTAACTGGCACTCTGTGAAATTCGGGTCACGGCTCCTCTCCAGTCCCAGCTGCCTCACGTGTAATGTGGGGATCATACCAACAAATGGAGAGGGTTGTTGTAGGAATTACCCTCACTTGTTTAATTTCTTAGCAAACCCAACAGTAGGCACTGGGATCCGATGGTGATTGTGACAGGCATGGTTCTCTCCTGACCTCAGGGAGTTTACATTCTAGCACAGGACATAACCGCAATCAGTTACGCAAGTTAACGTGGGCAGAAGTGAGACTTCTCCAGACGGCCCGGCACACGGTTCGGGGTATAGTAAGTTCCGTACACACAGATTCTTATGCAAGAGCAAGGGAGGTGTAGCGGCAAGTGCACTGGACTGACAGCAGAACATCAGAGGTGAATTCTGACTTATGGAACATACCCGATACAAGGAGCACTTGATCAATGCCCGTTGACCTCCACATGATAAACACCAGAGCTTACGGGTTGAACGCTGGAGGTCTCGGGCCCCGAGAGGCATCTTTTCAAGTACTATGGAGAATATCATCTGTAGGGTAGACTTGGGCTCCGATTCTGACTCCCCAGTTTCCTTGGGTCCTTGTGGAGTCCTTGGAGAATTAATGACTCAATCTCTCTGAACCATACTTCTTCACGCCCAAAGTGAGATGAGTAATCACGGTCCCCCACTAGGTGAGTGGGGATAATGGAAGAAAAGGGTATACGTGAAAGGCCCCGTGTAACTTATGCTATGTACACGACCCG